TTTCTCCCATGTGAATTAGAAAATGCCAGAGACTAGTAAAATACACAAAGGATCATTGATTAGAATAAAAATAAATAAATTACAACACATGCTAGATTTTCCACACTTTAGTTATCCAGATGTAAAATGAAGAGAAAAATTGAAATCATCCAAATATTTTTCAATTATCCAAATTAAACCCATTCTAATATTTCATCCCAAACAAACGTTTTGAGAATTTAGAAAAAAAAACCATACTCAACCCTGATGAAAAGGAGTTCTGTTCTTGTTAATTTCCTTGTTATTTTCATACAAAGAAAATATATTTGAATTATCACATCCTGGTCATGCCAGAGATTACAACTTGCACAACTCTTGGATGCGTGGAACATGCAAACAATGAAGTGTTTAAGTTGATCACACTTTCAAGCAGAAAAGCTATCCTTACAAATACATCTACTTTAATCCAGCCTCAGGAGTTAGTGGCAGGAAAAAAAAAATGCTGGAAACAGACAAAAATTGATACATTTTTTCATAAAAAATAAACTGGACAAAATTCTGGACAAAGCATCTGAAAATGGTATTTGATTGATCTTTATGTGCACTGTTCCCTCAGGATGTTGGCAATCATGGCCCACCACAACTTCCTTGTAGCTCTTAATAAATAGTCTTTTTGCTGTTTCTCTAAACCCTGTTCCAACATACATTTACTCAAGCCCATCAAGTATGTTATGTGTTATTTTCCTCTGTCCCTCAATCTGTCATGTGAGTATCAGATTTTTCCAAGGCCCCTTTCATTACATGCCCAAGAAATTTCAGCTATCTCTTCCTGAGGTTTCCTTTTTGTTTCCATTTTTTCTAAAATCTTATCGTTGCTCACATGTTTGGTCTATGGAATCCTCAGCATCCTTCTGTAGAACCACACTTCTGTTGCTTCAATTCTCTTTGGGGAGATTGTCCAGCATTCAATGCTATTGTGGCACACAGATATAACAGTTCAGTACTTTTTTTCTTTGTTTCTAACAAAGTTTTTCTGTTTCTTAATACTCTGCTTAGCTTTTGGAATGTATCTTTCTCTATCCCATCACGTCTTTGAATTTTAGTGCCATACATTTTGTTATCTGCTAAAGCACTTCTGATATTTAAATCTTTGTACTTAAGGTCTCCAATAAAACACCAAAAAGTTCCACTTATCATTAAACCAATTTGAATACCAAAACAATTTTGAAACTTTTTTTTTTATAGGTTTTCAATTATCTAAACAGATTTTTTCAACTTTTGTCTCCAAAGACGTACTGTAGTCAATGTTTTTTGTAAATACAGTGAATTAAATTAACAAAGCAACAATTGTAATGTCAACAAAGAGAAATCAAAAAGTGACTGAAATAACAATAGAATAGATAATGGCTAGTTACTAGTTTCCCAAACCCACCCAACTGTTAGGGCAGTTAGCTAATCCCTGTTGCAGATGTCTGCTCAAGCACATCTGTTGAACACCCACAGAGCACACCTGTAGTTTATACTGCAACTATTCTGAGTAGACCAAAATTACAGATTGTGAGAGAGATTGCATCATCTGGCATGATCAACAATTTGAACAAGGATAGTACTCTCATGCCCTCAGTCACAATGATTTGTGACTTCATGCTAGCATAGCTATCCTACAGTTCTGTCTGTCCAATTTCACTCACAAGGCTTATGTTAACCTGTAGTCTGGTTTTCAGGCACTTTTGGAAAGTGCCTGAAACTGAGATCACCTCTCCAATACAATCGATAATTTTAAGGTAACCCACAAAATTCAGTAGACACTGAAAGAATTGGGGAGAGTTAGGAATAAGATAACAGAACAAACTTTGAAACTGCCATCATATTTTTACAGGAAAAAGCATTCAATATTGTTGGCAGTGGGGCAAGGAGGCATCAGCTATTCAATGATTTTTATCACAGAAGACATTTCAATGGATGCTATATTTTTCTTTTAACCAGAAACCCAAAAAGGTTTACAGATTCAATTCCTAGTATAAAGCAGATCACACACAAAAGCCTGCCAAAACTTAAACCTTATGCAACAAAACACATCCTGACCCCAAAATATTAAAATTTTTTCTTAGAAAAGAAACAGCTATTAAATTTTTACATAAAATTTAAACAACTGACCAACAATTTTTTTTATGGCATCAATATGAATATTTCAAGTCAATAATTGCACTAAGGGAAAAAATGTTTTATAGATTTTACTGGTAGCTTTGTTGTATTGAGGAAAATTTTAGGGTGGCCTAAGTTCTAAAAAGTCTGGCTGGTGGCAGCCAATAGCAATAAACATAAAACAGACCAAATCTAATTAATATTGGCACTATTTTTATGATTATAGCTTATACAACTATAAAAGGAATATTTTTTCCTGTAATTGGAAATCTGATGGAAAAATAAAAAAAATCCTGTTGAATTTATCAGTACTTGTGATAATACACAATTTCATACATTCTGGACATTTCACAAAAATATAAGGTTTGCTTATGTTTTACATTTACTTTCAGAATGGAGATTTCTTGTAATAATCTTTTGAAAAAGTTTCATTTTGAGTATAAAATTGTTAGAGTAGAGTATATTTTAGTAGACAAAAACAAGCTGGTTCAAAGAAATTGTATGTTATTTTTTTTATTTTAAAGACTTCCAACAATAACAACAAAAATGGATAGTAAATGTAACTTGAACAGAAAATAATGATAGTCAATATTTTGACTTTTCACACTACTTTAAGAAGGTAGTAAAGAAATACCAATCATTACTAGAAAGAACACCAACAACTTGAAGCCTGTTTTAATGAAAAACAGTTTCAAAAAGGATTTTATAAATTTCAACCAGTCAATGAATGTCAAATGTTTCTTTATAATCATACAATTACCAGATATTGAATTTTAAAGTTCTAGCTTATACAGCAAAGAAAAGAGTGTCAATTAAATAGTGGCATAGCTAGAGTAAACGTCACCCAGGGTGGTCCGCTCAAATGTCACCCCAATGACCCCAATTCACCCTATGCTGAATGGTTAGCTGTAGCTAAATTTTCATACATGCTCTGCCTCTACTTTACTCTACTGACCGGTACGTTACTGTTTACATGTATGATCCAAGACAAAATCCAATACCACAAAATAATCAGTTCAAATCAAAAGCTGAAAACATTGCTATTTTTCCTACTCACAAATTTCCCGACAATTTATTAGAAAATTTCCGACGAAGGTGGGGGGGGGACGACAAAACTGGGGGGTCATAAATTATTTCTGGGGAGTCATATGCCCGCCTGCAAAACCCTGTGTCTCCACCACTGTTTTCAGACTATTTTTGGCACCTTAGCCTGTTTGAAAATTTTTGTTGTGGATGACATTGTGTCACCCCTCCTGTGCTGGCACCCGAGGCAGTCCGCCCCCCACTTAGCTACGCCACTGCAATTAATTTGTCTAGCCATGAGCTTATATTAGAAAATAATCCATCCATCTTCCCTGAGCCCCTTTGCCAATAAATCACATTGCGGATAATTGTGATTCAGAGGGATCATCCAGAGCTGTTGAAAATCTATCAGGTCTTTGTTTCACAGACATAAAAGAAATAGGAATGTAGATACCATGTGCTGCTGGAAAATCTTATATGTGTTCTTGTCCTAAGTATTTTGTTCATTACCAACCTTTGTGTGATTATTCTATTCAGTAACCTTCCCCAAGTTACAACACTAAGGAACAAGCAGTGTTATAGTATAATAATATATATATATATATATATATGACAAAATATAATAAAACATAATTAGTTGATTGAAATATATAATATATACTATAACAATGTAATATATATATATATATATATATATATATATATATATGTGTGTGTGTGACATAAAGTACATTAATACATAATATAAAATATAATTTGTTGATTTTAATTTTTCAAAATCAAACAAGCACAAAAATGTAAATATTTGGGAAGTGTTTTAATAGAGAACAGAAAGTGCCAGACTGAAATCTGAAGGCACATTGGATGCATTCCAAAAGCTAAGCAGAGTATTAAGAAACAGGAAAAACTGTTAGAAATAAAGAAAAGAGTATTGATCTGTTACATGATAAATGCCCTACTATATTGCAGTGAATGCTGGACAATCTCCTAAAAGATTAAGAAGAGACGAAGCAACAGAAGTGTGGTTCTACAGAAGGATGTTGAGGATACCATGGATTGAATATGTGTGCAATTATGAAGTTTTAGAGAAAAAGGAAATTTATACTCAACATCAGGAAGAGATAGTTGAAATTTTTAGGGCATGTAATGAGGAAAGAGTGTTTGGAAAATCCTATACTCACAGGAGAGATTGAAGGCAAGTGGGACAGAGGAAAACACATAACAGTGAGTTTTAGAAAAAGGATGATGGAACAGGGTTTAAGAGAAATAACATGATAAAACTTATTAAGTGCTGCAAAGGACAGGAAATTGTAGAGAGCCATCATTGCCTATGTCCTGGGGGTGGGGGGAGACATGGCTCATGAAGATCTGAAAACAACACTGAAAACAAAGCAAAAAATTCAACTATTTGTCAAATTTTTTTTTTAAATAAAAAAAAAAAAAAATAAAAAAAACTGTTACAATAAAACTTTTTTTAATTCTTAATCACTTTAGAATATCATTTTAAAGAAACTAATTTTTAATACATTTTTGCCAATATCATACTCATATATAAAGGCAATTCATTCCCCTGAAATCAATAAACCAGTACTATTATTATGAATCAATAATTAATGATATTGATTAATATCTGTCTATTGGAAGCCAACTTTCTAATCAGATCTTTATAACTTTTTTTTTTTATTTATTTATTTTAAATCAGTGACTCTTAAAAACAGCTTGATCAGTTTCAAACAGCAACATTTTATTCAATGCCAACTCCATAAAAAGTGTTCTTGTAGATAAAAATGCTTCACTATTTTACTCTCAAGTTAATCTTTCAACTTTTTGGTCGACTGATTTATTTGTTCTACAACATTAGATTTATATTGGAAGAGAGAAAAGGGGGAAGACATGGAGGGAGAAAGAGAAAAGGAGAGGAAAAGCAGAGAGAGAGGGGTAGAGAGAGAGAGAGAGGGGTAGAGAGAGAGAGAGAGAGGGGGAGAGAGAGAGAGAGAGAGAGGGGTAGAGAGAGAGAGAGAGGGGTAGAGAGAGAGAGAGAGGGGTAGAGAGAGAGAGAGAGAGGGGTAGAGAGAGAGAGAGAGGGGTAGAGAGAGAGGGTAGAGAGAGAGAGGGGTAGAGAGAGAGAGAGGGGTAGAGAGAGAGAGAGGGGTAGAGAGAGAGAGGGGGGTAGAGAGAGAGAGAGGGGTAGAGAGAGAGAGGGGTAGAGAGAGAGAGGGGAGAGAGAGAGAGAGGGGTAGAGAGAGAGAGGGTAGAGAGAGAGAGGGTAGAGAGAGAGAGGGGAGAGAGAGAGGGGAGAGAGAGAGAGGGGTAGAGAGAGAGAGGGGTAGAGAGAGAGAGAGGGGTAGAGAGAGAGAGAGGGGTAGAGAAAAAGAAAAAAAAGACTATATCAGCTTTTGTGAGACACACAATATTATTCAGTTACATAAGTTTAATTACTGAACTGCTTGGTGGCTAAAATAGTTACTTATTTCCCACTGAAATGAGTCATTGTTTCAAGTATGGATTTTCAAGATTCAATTGCTCTCAGCTGTGATGTAGTGTAATCCCCACTGCTGCCATTCAACCTCCTGTCTGACATACCAAACATACATTATAAGAGACAGCTCATCTCTGGGCAACTTGTTTATACATCCATCTGTTCAACATTCTCCGTCTCACATTTGCAATATCAGATGCAGGTGTGTAGACATGTATTTTTGCATTCAGTGGCCAGCACTGACTCACGGTCAATCCCCTGGTGCACAAGGTTTCATTGATCTCTGGTATGAATTGCATGGAAAGTCTTTTCTGGCATTATATAGAATGGAGTTTGGAAAAACAAAAAGACAATCTATAATTTCAAAAGCTACAAAATATAGAAAGCTGTGGAGAGCTATGATTGCCCACATCCTGAAGGAATATGGCATATAAAAAAATAATATAAAATTTCTATTATTCTAGTCATTTACTAAGCTTAAGTTGGGTACAAGGTTACTAGAGTAACAAATGGCAAGTAAGGAACAAACTCAGTACACTAGTAAATTAGTTCATATGGTGAGTTTACTGACAATTACATTGTACTTGATTCCCAATGACCACAATTATATTTGGTTTCTACTCATTCATTCAGAAACAAAATGTCTGTTTTGATCAACATGATTTTTCATATACGTGATTACACAAATTTAAAGCAGGAAAGTTCTCAAGTGAATGAGGAAATTTTAAGGAACTTTTTTTTTTTAAGCATTTCACCCCAAGCAAGGCAGGAAGCCACTGGTTACAGAGGATTTGGAGTGAGAGCAGATAGGAGTGATAGGGATGAGGAGAGGGAAAGTGGATAGACAGATCAAGGCAACTGGCAATGTTGGTTGACATTACATTTGAAAAGTTGGAGATTATAGCTATCAGGGAAACAAGAAAATAGAAAGGAGTTCCACAGGCGAGAGGTGCGAGATATGAAGCTACTGGAGTAGAAGAGATGGCTACATTTAACAGTTTCAACAGTGAAAGGGTGAGAGCGGGATGCCAGCCTTGGACGCTTGAATTCATGAAGTCTGGGAACCAGCAAAAGCAGCTCATCGCAGCAATTATCATGAAAGTACTTGTAAAAAAAAGACAGAGAGAGGTGATGGGACGTCTTTGAGAGAGCGACTGCAGACGAGATGCCAGATCAGGGCCAATTACATTGCATATCCGTCTCTGGATCTTATCAAGAACCCCGAGACAAACAGAAGGGGATCAGACCATATATATATATATATATATATATATATATATATATATATATGGCAGCAATACTCCATGCAATGGACACAAAAAGAATGTTTATGTTTGAAATCAGAAAGTGTTGTCGGCAACCGCTCACATCATTATCCTTCCTCCCTTTCTCTTCCCTGGTGGTGTAGTCAGAGATAACTGTGAATCAAAGAGTTTAGTGAATTTGATTTTTGTGGACAGCTCTGGAAGATGAAGTCCACACACTTGGCCAGAAGTGCCTCCCTCGTGGCTCAAAGTATAAATTTTTATTATTACACTGGTCTCCTTTATTGACTTAATGTGCATGATTAACTATGCCCTAACAAAAAAAACAAAAAAAAAAATGTATATGTATGATAGTTTGAAGGTATGCTATATTTATGGGTCAAAGTGCTCAATATCAGTGATAGAGCATATGTAAATATAAAAGTGGACATTGAGGTCAATACCCAGTTAAAATATCCAGTGCTGAAAGTAAATTTACTCTTTAGTATTTCAAGATTTTTTTTTTTTTTATAATTTTGGTAAATATATCTTAAAATTAGATGTCAGTGTTTCATTTTTTGCGTAATTTATGTGACAATTTATCCATCGCAGCCTGTATAGATTACTTTGAACGTTCTTTTTTAGAAATTTTTTTTTTTTTGACTTGTGTTCTCAGATCAAATAATGGTTTCCCTTAGGAGATTGCAGTTTTGAACCCTGCTGTAAAGCCCTATGTTCCTAATAAGATTTCTCAAATATTCAATCTGGTAGATGAAAATAACTGTTTAATAAATAAAGGAAGCGTCTACTCAAAGTCAAATACAAGAATCCACTAAAAATAAATTTTAAAGTAATAAAAATCTGTCAGTTTAATAAATAAAGAATATATATATATATATATATATATATATATATATATATATATATATATATATATATATATATATGCATGCCAGTGAAAGAAAAATCAACCAATAATAATATTGATAAGATTAATAATATTCATTGTATATTAGTAAGGCTTTTGACCAAATGAAAGCATGAGAAAGATTTCAAAAATCAGAATTTTCAGGCACGCATGAATCCTTTCTTAACAAAATGAGAAATGAAGTCATACTTTCTTTCCTGGGGTATTTGTTGTTTTAAACACCCTCACATGTGTTATATCACCATAAGATATCTGATAGTTTTAGGCTAATTGTTTGCAACTATATATATATATATATTCATACATTTCATTAAATAATATAGACAAGTGTTGTCTATTTATTTTATGTAAATTCTTTTCATAACGTCTGATAAGCTTAATAACATTATCATTAAACGAAGAAAGAAAATCACTTGTCTATATTATTTAATGAAACATGTATGAATGAAAAAATGCTGCCTAAATAAATAAATAAATAAATAAATATATAAAATTCTCATCTGTTTGACTTCTGTGTTGCACATTTATCTATGCTTGTCCTTGAGAGGCTCTCAAGTGTGAGGATTGAAACCGGTTAGCCCCTTTTTTGTTATATATTTGTTTTCTCTCACATCAAACAAGAATGATGTTATCTATTAAGTTGTGACATAGTATAAGTTCGATTTTCCCTTAAGCTTCAACCAGCAAGGCTCAATACAAACTGTCCCAGAACTATCAATAAAATCTGTAGAATCTTTTAAATACCTAGGAAGCGACATAAATTCTACCGAAAAGGATGTGAAAATTCACATAGCTAAAGCCTTGGCTGCCTTGAATAGAGTAATCTGGAAATCTGATCTATCAGACAAATTCTTTTGCACAACAACTGTAGAGGTGGTTCTAATGAGGCCACTAATTGGACATTAAACTATAACCCTAGAGTCTAAGCTAGATGGAACCTACATCCAGAAGCTGAAAGGAATGCCATTGAGGAAAGTACAAAAGATAAACGGTATTCAAGAAGATAGTGATTGACATTGCATTTAAATTTTTGAAGATTGTAGTTATCAGGTAAGTAAGTAAACAGAAGGGAGTTCCACAGGTGAAAAGTGAAATAAAAACTGTTGGAGTAAAAGTGGCAGTTACATTTAACTATTTCAACAGTACGATTATTTTGGAACTTTTTATTATTTTTCATTCAGAAAAGATTCATGCATATCATTATAGAGAATAATTATAAACTAAAAATGAATAGTCAAGTAAATAAGCTAGAAGCCAAAAAAAAAAAAAAAAAAAAAAAAAAAAATTTTTTTTTTTTAAATTGTGTATTTAAATTCAAAACATATGTTTACATTCAAAACTAGAAAAAAATCATTTTATGAAAGGATAAGATAAGAAAAAATACAGGAACCAGAATCTCTAAAACTTAATATCTGATTTAGTCTCCATGTTTTTTTATTGTTTTTATAATGGCCCTCTGTAAAAGTCTTAAAAATTAACGCCTATCCTTTTCCGGACCATCTTGTTGCACTGAATTAAACCACTTTATCCATCCTCAGCTGATGAAACATTTAAGTGTGGGTCAAATAGTCAAGTAAATAAATTTGTTGAGAGCTTTGAATTTCTGTTTTTTTTTTTGTTTTTTTTTTATCATACCACAAACACTTTTTTTTTTTTCTCATTTTTTTTTGTGGTTTTATAGCCATTATCTAGATTCTCCATATTGATACAAAAAAAAAAAAAAAAAAAAATATTAAACAACATAAAAGTTGAATAAATCATGAACATGAAAGTCTATTTAATTCATATCAGCCTCAGTTTAAACTGACATCACCTCCCTGCTACTGCATACACACATTTTATATATATTTTAATTGTAATTGTTCTGATTGGGATGTTTGAGTTGCCTGAAGATCATGAAAGCATGGAACTTGAGTAGCAACTTGAGCTGTCCTTCATTGAGTGTTGACATTGTGACGATCTTTTTGCTCTCTAGAAATTGACTACTTTAATTTACTGTATAAGTAGGTTTTTGCCTTTTAGTTTTTCTTCTTTCCTTGTTTGGCATTTGTTTCTTGTCTAATGTATTGGAAAATTAGTGAGATAGCAGTTCACTTCTCAAAGCTGATGGAAGTATACCATGGTTAAGTGAGAAATTGTATTGTTGCTCTTTTTTCAACCAGTGTCTTGGAAAGCACTTGTCATTATTCTTTATTGAATTTGACAACAGCCAAGGAGACAAACCTGTGAACATAGCAAATTGGGTATATATGCAGATACAGCCAAGTGAACAATGTGCAGATGATGTTGTCACATGAGCAACAAGGAAGTTTTATACATAAAAACAGAAAGAGATTAAAATTTGGTAATCAGCAATGACACTCACAGCTTGAAGGAAAGAAAGACAGAGGAAAACAGCAAAACCTATTTAATGAATGACTAAATGGAAAGCAAAAGGACAAAGAATCAAGTTACTTAGTGCCACATGGAACAGGAAGATGGGGAGAGCCATGATCACCAATGTTCTGAAGGAACATGGTATATAAAGAAGTAGAAATGAATGGATGACAGAATAAGAACAAAGAGATGGTAAAATATCAAATCTGCTTAGAGCAACAAGAGACAAGGAAGTTGTGGAGAGTCATTATTATAATAGCTCTGAAAATGGCTTCTGAAAGAACATGGCACATAAAAAATTAGAAATGAATGGAAGGCAAGGTGAGGTGAGGACAAAGAGGGAACGTAAAGAATCAAATGTTACTTAGCGCTACAAGGAACAGGAAGCTGTGGATGACCACGACAGCCTATGACACATAAAAGAAGAGCATAGAACAAAATACCGAAAAACTGTAATTGGCTAATAACTAGTTCAGCATATAAAATATAGATCAAACAACAGATTGAAAATAGTCACTTCCTTTAAAAAGTGGAGGTTTCATTTAAATTGCAAAATAAATGTCCTACCATTTCTATTATTTATGACTAGAAATACCTGTGAAAAATTCATGGTTTTCCTATTTGTATTTTCTGATGAATCTAATTCTAATTCTTAAGTTAATGATTGAATAAGCTCATGGCAAGTTCTATAACGATAAAATATCCATAGAAATTCCCCTATCACATTGTTAAATATTTCAGCTTAACAATCCTATTATAATACTGCTTGTCCCTACCATCTCGGCCTTTAGGCTAAGATCAAAGTGTAGTATCTGTTCTTATATAATCTCTCTCTCCTTTTATTCTCACTTCTCTTATTTATATGCCAAATGACTGAATGAGCTCATGGTGAGTTCTACAACAATAGAAAAATAGAGAAATTCCCCTATCACATTGTTAAATATTTGAGCTTAACAACTTTAACAAAATATTGCAATAACAATCATAAATATGAATGCTGCTCATTATTTAAAGAAGTAAGAGGGTAAGTAGTAGTGTCTCCAATATGTCTTTCCATGAAATCGAAATGGAATAATCCATTATGAGGTACTGACAGGGCATAACATAGCTATCTGAGTAGGCCTGGGTACCCTACTTCTGTAATTTATCCCAAGAATCTTCTTCTCATAACAGGAAGAAGCCGGCCAGGGTGAATGCCGCATCAGTACAGTAGTAGTAGTATATGCTAACTAGGGGTGGGACAAGCAAAATTAGATGATACAATAACCTAGCATTATTCTCTTGAGGGATTATTCAGCCAGAGAGTTTTCAGATTACTGGATATTACTGTGCATCAAACTATTTTTCCTATCTTTATTTACACTATTTACATTTGGACTATTGTTCTCATCTTTGCTGCTATTATTACAATGTTTCAGCCATTGTAACCTCTGACCTTCAGCAAGTCAATCCAGGTAACCTACAATGAATTCTGTATTTCTTTAATGTACAGGTCACTGAGATCGTTCAAACTGGTGTTGGCATCTACCAACTCTCCCTCTTTAGTGTAATAAGGAAGGTGCTGCCACACGATTGAAATCTTTAGGAACAGGCTTCACTCATAACATTAACAGGGAACAGATACTACACTATGATATCAGGCTAGTAAAGGAAGAAATTTACTCCCCTTTATGGTGATAGAATGTGACAAGGTCAGTTTAATTTTGGGTACTGTACATACAAACCAATGACAAAAACAGCTCAGTTTCGATGATTAGTGACATGATTTGGTATCTAACAACTCACCGTCTTTAGTGCAATGAAAGTGTTGCCACAGGATTGAAAGAGGAAATATGAACAGATATTACACCTCCATACCAGCCACAAAACTGGGCTATTACTCACTTCCCCATGGTGGCTTGAAGGTCACTTTTAATGTATGCATGCCATTTGTGAATCCAGGAATTATGCAGTCCCCATGTAATGTTGGTGTAAATATTCCACCAACCTTCTTTCTTTTAGTGTAAAGAGGAAGTTCTTGCTGTGGGGTTGGAATACCCAGGACTTGGAACCTCTTGAAGTTCTTTCGAGGAACAGCCCAAAGATAAAAACATAGCAAGGAAGAGAAGTGAATTAGAGATACTCCACTTTGATCACAGCATGACAGCCAGTAAAACTCAATGGTGAAAATGTTCATGGTAACGGTGTTTAGATTCTCTATACATTCCCCCAACCATTAATGGCAAGCAACCTAACAAGAAACAATCAACAAATTAATTTGGAATCAATTATCTCACCCAATTAAAAAAAAAAAAAAAAAAGAAAGAAAAAAGAACTGATATGTACAATCACACATGTGATGTGCTTTTTTTTTCTTTTTTCTAAAAAAAAGTTTTGTAGTTGCATACTTTGGAAGTCAGATTGAAAGTTCAGTTTCAGTTTTGTTCTTTGTGCCATGGCATAAAAACAAAAGAAAATTGAGATCAGCCAGTAATGCAGCCATCAAGGGAAAATAAAGGGAAGTGAAAAGGTTACAAAAACTATCAGAGATGCTCATCATCTTGCTGAAAGAACAGTTGTTATTATGGAAAGAGAAAGGAGGGAGAGAGAGAGAGAGAGAGAAATAAAGAAAGATGGGTAATGTATACAAGACTGAAAGAAAGAAAATAAAAATGGTTAACCACCAGTCCATATGCCATGCTTGCATTTGTTGTTGACCTTGTTTTGTATTACATGCATTCCGCTATCCACAGGATACAAGGAATGGAAATAGTAAAGTACATATGCACACATCGAAAAACCATCTGCAGTCAAGGGAAAAAGAGAGGAGAGAGAGAGAGACAGAGGGAGAGACAGAAGAGCTGAGGAGGAGGCAGAGGAGGAGAGAACGGGGGGAGGCAGAGGGAGGGGAAACGGGGGGGGAGGCAGAGGGAGGAGAACGGGGGGCAGAGAGAGGAGAACGGGGGGGGCAGAGAGAGGAGAAGGGGGGGAGGGGAGGAGAACTGGGGAGGCAGAGAGAGGAGAACGGGGGGGAGGCAGAGAGGAGAACTGGGGGAGGGAGAGAGGAGAACGGGGGGAGGCAGAGAGAGGAGAACTGGGGGAGGCAGAGAGAGGAGAACCGGGGGGGGGAGGCAGAGAGAGGAGAACCGGGGGGGGGAGGCAGAGAGAGGAGAACCGGGGGGGGGAGGCAGAGAGAGGAGAACCGGGGGGGGGAGGCAGAGAGAGGAGACAGGAACATGGCAGCAACATAAAAAGAAAGAGTGAGAAACAGAGAGAGGACAGAGGCCAACAGAGAAAGAAAGTGAATAAGAGAAAGAATGAGGGAAGCTGATAACAGAGCAAGAGAAGAAGTGTGGAAACCTGTGGGGTTAACACAGAGAGAGAGAGAGAGAAAGAAAATGAGCAAGGGAACCTGTGGGAGGTAACAGAGAGAGAGAGAGAGAACCCCCCACAGGTTCCCTCGCCTGTTGTTAACAGAGGGAGAGAGAGAGAGGGAACCTGTGGGTGGGGTAACAGAGAGAGAGAGAGGAACCTGTGGGGGGTAACAGAGAGAGAGAGGGGAACCTGGGGGGGGTGAGAGAGAGAGGGAACCTGTGGGGGGGTAAGAGAGAGAGAGAGGGAACCTGTGGGGGGGGTAACAGAGAGAGAGAGAGAGAGGGAGGGAACCTGTGGGGGGGTTAACAGAGAGAAAACAACGAGAGGGAACCTGTGCAGGGGTTAACAGAGAGAAAACAACGAAGCGAGGGAACCTGTGGGGGGTTAACAGAGAGAAAACAACGAGCAGGGGAACCTGTGCAGGGGTTAACAGAGAGAAAACAACGAGCGAGGGAACCTGTGCGGGGTTAACAGAGAGAAAACAACGAGCGAGGGAACCTGTGCGGGCTTAACAGAGAGAAAACAATGAGCGAGGGAACCTGTGCGGGGTTAACAGAAAGAACCTGTGGGGGCAGAGACCGAGAATGAGCGAGGGAACCTGTGGGGGCACAGACCAGGAACAAGAGAGAGAGAGAGAGAGAGAGAGAGAACAAGCGAGGGAACCTGTGGGGGTAACAGAGAGAGAGAGAGAGAAAAAACAAGCAAAATATTTTGTCAATCCTTCTGTCATAAACCCAAAGTAACAAATGCACATGGAACTGAGAAGTTCTTCCACATGTAGTGTATTCTTCAGGATCCTTACTTTCAGTTCCTGCTACTTTTCTATGACTAGTGCTCCCATAATATTTAAATTTCTCAAAGAATTCATCAAAGCAACCAGAACCTCTTTCTCAATTTTTTTTTTTTTTTAATTCAACTTTTCTATTGCCTCAAACATAATTATATTGGACAATGTTTTTATAATTCAATTTTAAGAGGTCAACACGTTTACTTGAATGCAATGAATAAACATTTTTCTTAAGTTCTAAAAATGCTATTTTGTTGAATGACAGGTGAAGGTGAAATCTCAGACATTTGACACATCCTGTCACTTTCCGGCTAAACAAGAATCAATTTGTTAAAAATATTCATTAGGCCCATATGCAACAAGTGTGCAAAACAAAAAATTCTAGTCTAACTTGTCAAAATAAATTCTCCTATATAAATTTAAGAAAATTTAGTGACAGAAGATTCAGTAATTTTGACAAGGTAGGAAAATTCGGTAACTATGAAATAAAAGTCAATTGAAAAGTGATTTTAAAGCTGTAGTAGAGATTTGGGGACTAACTCCCCCCCGTCTCTCCCATATTTTTAAATAACTGAAAATCATGACATCCAGATAAAACCCTGCAACAACAATACCAGGGCCATACTTGCAGAAATGGGGCTAAGCCTCCTTCCAATATTTTCTTAATATTTTCAATATTATTAACTATGGGGAGTCTAGATAAAACTCCACTACAACAATACCAAGGCTGTACTTTCTGTGGGGAGCTAGCCCCAACCTTCATATGTTTAAAGTATTAACTAAAAAAAATCATGGGTTTCAGTTCAGATACAACCCCCACTGGAACAATATCAGAGCCATACTTTATTGATGAAGGGTTCAGAGGTGGCTAATCTCCAATATTTTTTAAATAAATATGTATTTAATTATGATACTATTGCTTTCAAGCAAATAAAAAAAATCGATTTAACTAAGTTTTTGTATCTTCTTTCCAAATCATTATTTTAATAAAAAAAATAGTAAATAAATTAAATTTTAGATAGTTATTACTTTTAAAGAAGCAAAATCTATATAGCCTCATTTCTATTTCAAAAATATAAGAACTGGGGCTTAGCCCCCAGATTCCCTCTCCAGAAGAGCCCTAAAATCAATTCTCAGACTTTTATTTCATAGTTACCAAATTTTCCTACTTTGTCAAAATTACCAAATTTTCTGTTACCGGATATTACAGCTAGTAAAATTTTTCATTTTCCTTTTATTCACTTGTTTTAATAACATTTATATATTGTTACACTTTCTCACTAAGTATTGTAATGAAGAAAAAACAGAAATCTATACTGAAAATTGGAGGGGGGGTCCCTGAAACTGAATTAAGGAAAATTTGAAAGAGAAAATTGTTCCCTCTACTAATGTTCACCAATTATAAAGCTCAAGAGCCACTCCTGGTAGACAGTTACTGAACAATGTTGCATGAGCATAAGAGAAGCAGGTAAGAAGTGTAGTTTATGAGGTTATGTAGGAGAGGTAACTGTTAACCATAGGCTTGAAGAGGTTAAGATTGTAGTGACCAGAGAAGCAGCCTAGTGGGAATTTGTTTCACAAAGTAGCAGTTCACTGGGTCTAGGGTGGAAGATAAAACTGTATGAAACTGACTGCTGAAAGTGAAAGCAACAAAGAGATGACATGAGATGTGATAAAAATCAGCAACTGATTACAAAATCATGCTCAATCTGTTTTTGCTCCCAGCATTCCATAGTGGGACCAGAAGTGCTTATACATCATCATCAGTGATGTTATGGAACACTTGGGAAGAAGCTATCCAAGTGGAACTTCCTTCTTACTAATGGAATACAAAATGAATGAGAATGCGAGACTCCAAGCAGAAAAGAGATGGTAGCGTTGTAATCAACACTCCTACCAGTCACCAATTCCACACACCTCCAATGGCAAAGGAATAGTCTTGAAGAAACAGGATTCCAGTTATGAAGAGAAATTTAATAAGGTTATTTGACATTTCAAAATCCTGCTCAATTTGTTTTTTGCTCCCAACATTCCATAGTGGCACCAGAAGTGCTTATACATCATCATCAGTGATGTTATGAAACACAAGGGAAGATGCTATCCAAGTGGAACTGGCTTCTTACTAACAAAATACAAAAGGAATGGTGATGATTCATTCCAGTGTACATGAGACACATTGAAGAGAATGTCATATTTTTAAGCGATAGGATTTGCCACTCTCAATTACATAATTCCCGCTGGGTTTTACATTAATCAATTTAATTATCAGCCTTCTCCTAGAATTGCCATAAATATGACAAAACCACCGTTCCTTTCTTGACACAAGACTTTCTAGACAACTGTCCTCACTGAATCAGTTCAAAGACTCAGGGCAAAGAGACAGTGCTGTAAACAACGCACCTTCCAACTGCCAATTCCACACACCTCCAATAGCAGAGGAATAGTTTTGGAGAAACAAGATTCCAGGTATGAAACAAAAGCTCATCAAATGAAAAGACATTTAATAAGTTCTGTTTGGCACGAGACCACAAGAGAAGGATAAAATTATTTACATGTCGACATACCAAAGATTAAAGTTGGCTGGAAAGCATGAGGCTGGAAGAGAGTTCCACAAGTGAGAAGTGCAAGAAAAGAAACTGTTAGCATAGAATTTACAGTTACATCGAGCCAGCTCCACTGTAAATTGATAAGATCTAGATGCCAGGTTAGTACTGCATTTAAATTCAAAATGTTTCAGTACCATAATGATGAGCTCATCTAAATGATTACCATGAAATTATTTATAGAAAAGGCACAGAGAGGCAACCTTACAGCAATGGGAAAGTGACTGAAGCCAAGTTGCCAGATTAGAACCAATAATATTGCCGATTCTTCTTTGGATTTTATCAAGTAGTTCTAGATATATAGCAGGAGCACCAGACCATATATCGCAGCAATATTCTAAGCATGGGTGAATGGTAGTCTTATAGATATGTAAAATAGATTCTGGAAAGAAAAATTCTCTTACATGACACAATCAACTGTCTTAGCAGCTTAGCTATCAATGAATTTAATATAGTATTTCCACTTCATGTTAGCTGAGAACGTTAGCTCGTGAAAATGCAAACAGTCATTTTCCTGGAGGTTAACATCAGCCATAGAAGGTCATCAGCAATTTTGATATCTTTATCATATTTCAAACATTGTACCCTTATTGGTGCTTATTGAAACAGATCCAGGTCACCTTCAGGATATCTCAAACCGAATCCTTTATTTAATTGACATGAACAAGATAAAACTTGCTATACAGTAGTAATGGTTTGCTAGATTAGCTCATTAACCATAACCCAAAGGTGAAATGCCCATTATCATCTACACTATTTACATTATTCAGATTATTGTCCTCGTCTTTATCACCATATTTATTATATTGCGGCCGTTGTACACTTCGGCCTTCTTCAGGTAGTTGGAATGTCAAACGGATCCCTTTATTTCACTCAATGAGGTAGACTGTTCTAGTTCCACGTGCCATGTTTAATGGATGTCAGTTATCAGTTATCCTGTTAATTCCCCTCTCTAGGTTCTCCACTGCCTTAACTGGGTATTGAACTCACACTCTTTGGGTCCTGTTACTGACATCCATTAAACATGGCACATGAAATATGTTAGTAAAGCTAGATTACAAATGATTTTTATAGTACTATCATATTCCTTCAGGACATAAGCAATCATAACTCTCCACAGCTTTCATTTCTTTTAATATTTGTAAACTGTGCATTGCCTTGATTGTTCTTAGGAAATATCATGAAGTGGTTTCCTGTTATCTTCTCCATGTTTTTAAAAACAGAGTTGTCTTTAACCTAGATTGTTTGCTAAAAGCATGATAACGGAGACCAACCTGCTTTGCTATTTCATTCATAGCTGAGGAGGGAGAAGAGAAGTATTCTTGCCTTTTCTCAGGGCAATAGTCCAAAGTGAACATAACAAACATGGCTATAATTTGAAGTTACAACCAGCATACTTTTAGAATACTCGGCCACAGAAGACTTTCACAGAAAAGCAATGTTCAATAACCCTATTTAAGAAATGTACATCTCTTGTTCAAATCTCTCAAAGCCCATATCTTCTAACTTTTATTTTCGTATCTGAAACACAAAGTAATTTCTAAGGAATTGATGAATTTTATTTATTATTCCTACATTATTTCTTATTAGCATAAATAAGGTATTTCAGGGCTATACGTGTTTGAGTAAATATGTCTGTTTTTTTTTTAAACAGCCTGTGTACAGTTTGAATATACAGCCCTCTTGTCGGGGTAACAAGTATGTATGTGTGTGAATTGAAAATGGCACTGTCTTTCTCTTTTTTTTTTAATCATTTGATTGATTTGTTTTTATGGCTTATCAACCCTTTGCAGGTTATTTAAAGTAAGAAAATATTTTTACATTGTAAGAATATTTTGTTTGGAGATAATGATTTAGTGATACAAGTCTTACTAATTGACCCATAGCGAGAGAGAAAAGAGGTTAATTTGTGCTTTTCCCAAATATAACGAACCCAACTGGAATTGGAACTTTGTTCTCTGATTAACAATTCCAAGTCATTATCCATTACACCACCCACACATCCAAGCTTACAGCACCTGGTATTCCCAGACAGTCTTTTTAATCATTTCATTTCAAGCAAGGTGATAAAAGCTACTAAAATACAAGGGGTTACTGAGAGTGAAAGAAACATGGAGGAAAATGAAATACTGGATTCAAGGAGACAGAAGATGATTGTTATTGCATTTAAATTTTTGAAGATCATAGTTACAAGAAGCTGGGAGAGATTTTCACAAGTGAGAAGTGTGGGAGAAGAAACTATTAGCATAGAACTTACAATTATAACTAACAATTTCAATTGAAGTTATGAGACCTAGCTGCCAATCTAGTACTGTGCTTAAATCTGTGAAGTCAAGGTAT